TCCTTGGTCTTTTTCCCCTCTTTCCCTTGAGACCTATGTCCATTCTAGAAGCGACTCCCTAGTAGGTAGTTCGTGGCCACAGAAGACACAGAGGTTAATTTACCCAATATTATAAAAGCTCAACCCCCAATCCTGGACTTAGGAAAAGTAAAATGATACAACCCAGTCAACCAATCTTAATATGCAGGGTAGGGGGGAATAATAACTATAGTGAGGAATTTACAAAAGGTCAACCAGTTATTAAGTCTTTTTTCACCTTTATGTTCTTTTTAGCGAGCTCTTTACAAACTACAATGGGTACCCCAAAATGAACTCTAAATGTATGAATCTGCAACCTTCTACTATTCCATGGTCTGACATCCCTCCCAATGACTCTATACCATCATTTTCTGACTGTCCTTTACGGAGCAGGTCTCAAACTTTCTTGTCTCAGGATCCTTCTTATCCTCTTAATTATTGAGAATCTCCAAGAATTTTACTTAAATGGGTTTTACCCATCAATATGTATAGTATTAGAAGAATTTTAAACTATATTAATATTTTAATTTGTTGCCCTGGCTGATGTGGCTCACTGGATTCAGGGCTGTTCTGCAAACCAGAAGGTCTCTGGTTCAATCCCAGTCAGGGCACGTGCCTGGGTTGTGAGCCAGGTTCCCACAGGGGGTTGGGGGGATGGGGGGCATGAGAGGCAACCACACATCTGATGTTTCTCTCCCTCCTTCCCTCTCTCTAAAAATGAATAAAGGTTTTTAAGAAATATTTTATTCTGTTAATAGTTTTATTGCAATTAAATATTATATTAATTTATTTAAAAACAAATGCATGACCTGCTTAAATAATGTATCAGAAATAACTATGCCCTGGCTGGTGTAGCTCAGTGGATAGAGCACGGGCCTGTGAACCAACGGATCCTGGTTTGATTCCCAGTCAGGGAACATGCCTGGGTTGCAGGCCAGTTCCCAACAGGGGACACACAAGAGGCAACCACACATTGATATTTCTCTCCCTCTCTTTCCCTTCCCCTCTAAAGATAAATAATTTTTTTAAAAAAAGAAACAACTACGTTTTCAGAAACAAAAATACCTCCTTAATGTCTGCTTTAATAGATGACTAAATCTGTTGTGATGGGTTGTTTTATCTGAAGAATACGAAGAAAACCTGGCCTCACACAGCTGTGTATTTTAAGAAAAGGGCAGGGTATTTTAGTAGCCTTTTCAGACAAATATGTGGCTCTTCTTTGATATAATAAAAAATATATAAGTATATTTATTTCTTTTCTTTTTCTTTTTTTTTTTTAGAGAGGGGAGAGGGGAGAAAGAGAGGAAGAGAAATACTGATGTGAGAGAGAAACACCAATCAGCTGCCTTCCGTTATGAGCCCAATGGAGACCCAGCCAGGGACCAAAGCTGCAACCTGAGCATGTGCCCTGACTGGGAACCAAACCCGTGACATCCAACCAACTAAAAGCCATACCAACCATGGCAAAAAGCACATTTATTTCTTAAATATCTGCTGTAATGTAGAACTTCAAACCATACTCATAACTTTTACTACTCTTACATTAAAATCTATTGGTCTATTTTGCACTTTACATCTTTTTTCTACACACGATTTTGTAATATCACACATTTGGTCATCTAGAAAACATTAGTTCCCTATGTTAACACTTTACTGCACAATATTCCAGAAAAAAAGTGCTAATATCACTACCAATCTCATCATAAATGCTTTTAAATACTGAGAAGCTGTCAAGCTCATGGCAGCAGATAGTTTTCCAAGATTCTAATTTTCTTTTAAAAGTTCCATATCTCCCTCTTAATTTTGCTATACACCTAATACTTCTCTTAAAAAAATAAAGCATTTAAGAAAAAGTACTCAGAAAAAGCCTCCCTCAGGAGGCAACAAGTGAAGTGATGAGCCCTCCACTCAGAAGCTACTTAGTGTGCATCAAAATCGCCTGGAGGGCTTGTTAACACCGACTGCTGGTCAGACAGCCTGCCGGGGGCACCCAAAATTTCCATTCTTAAGATCAGATGTTACTGATGTTGCTGGTCCAGAAGCTACACTTGGAGAACCACCGTGAGCAACCTCGGTGTGCTAGGGGAACAGAAGACGGTCAGTCGGAAGGGAGGGCAATGTACCTCTCAGCGATTCCGAACCACTTAAGATGAAAAACTACCAGCTCTGGCTTCCCAGACCAGAGACGGAACCACAAGTTGTCCGATAAAACTTTGCATTTACAAAGCATTTCACAATTTATAAAAGCATTTTCACATGTATTATTTAATTTGACTTTGTGAGAGATAAGTGAAGGCCTATTAGCTACATTTTAGAGATAAACTAAAGGACAGAAACATCATGAACCTGAGGGAACCAGAAAGCAAGTGGCAGAACTATGTTCCCTGACTCCAAATCCAGTGTTCCTTCCAGAAGAGCATGCTCACTTTTTTAAAGAGCAAAGCAAAAGATACAAACAGGAATTAATACTAACATTATTTTCTAGACTCCTTGCCTAAAAACATGGTGGCCGCCAGACTTCATTTGTTTTAGATACTGGTTAGAACGCAGTATTTCCTCAAGACTAACTAGTACTTAGACCCATCTATTTATTTCTCCTAGTTCAAAACAAAGGGTGGAGAAATGAAGTGGGACTTTACAGACTGTTATTCTCTCACCTGCACAAATATCAGAGAGCAAACTACATTACCTCAGTCCCTCCACCACAGCAGTCAAACCCAATTTTCACCCTGTGCTCCCTCTAAACCTCTAACCTAATCCAGGTTCCCACAAGAACACTAAATCCCAAATGTCTTACTACACTCATGAGGCCATGAGCAGTTACCTACACAACCATTATCCACCTTCTATATAACCATCACCATTTACTATCTTCTCCATCAATCAAATCCTTATTCTTAACATCCTTTCCTGCATGCCTCAATACCTCAAAACCAAAGTACCCAAAACTAAAATTATATCACCCCCCCTCCATACACACACCCACAACCTGTTCTGTGGCTGAATTGAATTACTTTATTTGCATTAACAGCACTGCTACCCATCAAACAAGACACGTGGAACTCCAGGCCCTGGCTGGGTGGCTCAGTTGGTTACAGCATCGTCCCCATACACCAAGGTTGTGGTTTCCATCTCTGGTCAGGGTACATACAAGAAGCAACCAGTGAGTGCATCAATAAGTGGAACAACAAATCTCCCCACTGCCCTCTCAAAAAGCAATAAATAATTAAATTAAATTTAAAAGCCTGGAACTCTCAATGCTCTTATCTCCATTACCATGGCTACTTACAATTAGTTACTACTACTACAGACTAGCTAACATTTCATTAGTAACTATCATGTACTAGTCAGTATACATACTTTATTCTATCAATGAAATAACTCTATGAGGAAGGTAATTCTGTCCTTGTTTCACAAATGAGAAAACTTAAACTAAGAAAAATTGATCTGTCCAAGTCACAAGCAGGAAGTAACAAAGTAAACATCTAAACTCAAATGTCTCCCAAAGTCAATTTCATTCCTCCACAGCAACATGCTTCCTTCCTCAATACAGGACATCGGTCCTTCACTACCTATCCCCAATGCTTATTTCTCACCTAGATTACTTCCAAGATCCGCCTTCCTAACTGGGCCTGCTCCAGCCTCACGTTCCTACCCTTCAATGAGCCAAAATGCTTCAGAATTCCCTTCGGTCTACACTGCACAAGATACACCCTATGGGATGAATCCCAAATGCTTTGGTGCAGATCCACAAAACCTTATTATCTGCAGCTCCTGACCTCAAAGGTTTGTAAATTTCTTTTCATAAATTTGTAACAAAACCCACCCTGAATTGTGGAAGGCTATTTATTGTCTACCTTATTAGTGTGATATTTGCATGTTTCACTACAGAAGTATTGTGTTTGATGATGTGTTGTTAACCCCAACCCTGCTGGAGTGTTAAAGACCTTTCCAGGAAGAAGAAAAATTTCCAAACTATTCTGAAGGGTTTCAGAAAGGGATTGCAGGCCCTTTACCTATTCAGCCCCTGAATCCAACCTGGTTTCCACCAATCACCTCACACATCCCTTAAATGAAGAGCTGTGTAAGGTGCCCTGGGAGTTACTCACCTTTCAAGAAACCTGGCCAAGGGTGTTCTATTCAGTGAAGTTTCCCCGACCTTCTCTAGACTGCGCCACTCCATTGCAGCAAGTGCCCACCTCCACTGCTATAGGTTCTGTATTTGTTTCCCTTAGACTGTGAATAAGCTCAGTAAGAATTTCATTCAATCCTACAGTGTCCGAAACACCAGGGGCTCATTAATGCACAATGAACTGAAATTCAGGCCCAGCTCTTCCTAGTTTCCAATTCCCTTCAAAGTTCATTTCTCCTTCACCCCTAAACCTTAGTATTTTTCCCTAACCATGCAGGCCTCTCAGAGCTCTTTTCCTACCAGAGTTTCTCCTTCCCAATGTCATCTTAAAATTACTTTCTACCAAACGCCTCCTCTTAACCCCAAACTCTCCAATGCCCTTTATCCTCTATTTAATCCCTAGTTCTTCTTTCCTCTAGTCTTGAACAGGTCAAGTCCCCCTCACAGCCTTCATCTCTTACCTACTCCCTCTTCAACACCTCTCCCACCTCTGGGCCCTCCCACACCAAGCGCTTCCCACCAGCCCTTTCCCAGAGCCCCTCTTCTCTCCGAACCTGCGCCCGCCCCGAGTCCACGCCTCCCCGGCGTGTATCCGCACCGCACAAACCTCCCCTGGAGCGATGTCCCCTCCCCCAGTCTCCCGCAGCTGGCACCCCCTCCCTCCACCGCCCTCGTATCTCTGGCCGTCCAGCTGCTCTGGAAACTGTCCCAGGGGCCGTGTCTTTCACCTTACAACCCTCGAGACCGCTCTGCTCGGAGCAGTCCCGGGCCCGAGTATCTCCATCCCCAGCTCTTCCTCGGCCCCGCCAAGCCCCTTCAGTCCAGACCTCCAGCAGGGCCTCCAGCTCACCTTGCTGGATGTCGCCGTTGCTGCCCCCCGGGATGGGCACGTTGAGCTGGCGCTCCGGCTCCGGCAGGCAGCGCAGGCAAAAGGAGTGAAGACAGGGCAGCAGCTTGGGCTCCGCCTCACGCCGGCTCTGCAAGCTCTGCTGACACACGGCGCAGGTGTCCAAGAGAGAGGCTGGAGGTCCAAGAGGCGGCCCCGCGGAAGGACCCGGAGCGGGAGCCGAGGTTGGAGCTGGGGCCGGCGTCAATACCGCCCCCCCAGGAACTGCAGGGCCCACGGAGGCCGCAGGGGCCGAAGCAGCCGGGGCCGAGCCCGAGGAGGCCGCGGCCACCCCCCCGTCGTCGGGCCGGGCCGCGCTGCTCTCCGCGTCCGCCCTGCCGCCTTCCTCCTCCTCCTCCTCTTCCACCAGCACCGCGGCGAGAGGCGGCTCCGCCTCCTGCGCCGCGGGCCCGACGGCCCCGGCAGTTACCGGCGCACTGCCGCTGCCCCCGCCGCCGCTCTCAGCCTCGCCGCCGCCTTTGTTTTCCGCCATGTTTTCCTCTTTGAACCCGCCGGACCGCCCCGCGCCGCCCGCCGCCCGCGCCGCCACCGCCCCCAGCCCCAGCCGCAGCAAGAGCGGCCGCCGAGAGCGAGCGAGCGAACGAACGAACGAACGGACGAGAGCGCGCGCGCACGCGGCGCCCCCGCCCTCGCGACGCTCCGTGGAAGAGGGGCGAGTGCGGCGCGCGCACGTACGTGGGACGTTCTTAGAGGGAGGCGGGAACTCAGGGCGCGGTTGCAGTGTTGTCCTACCCGGCCCTACGGCCTTGCGGTTCTGCGCCTTTCGCTGCGGCGCCGTGGTTCAGCTGGCTTTAAAAGCAAGAGGCATTGAGCGCCGCACTGCCTTTGGCTGGGGGTGGTTATGAGCTGGGACAAGAGTGGAAAGGATGGCGGGTAGGAGGCCAGTCCTGGTTCCCGCAGAGCTACCGTCTCCCGGGCGTCGCGGTCCCTAGACGCGGGCGGGTCCCCGCGGAGACGTCACTTGTACTGTCGGACGCCCGGGCCTCCTGCTCGAGGTGCTGACCTCCTGGGTCTCTGCTTTAACCGGCCGCGTTCCCTTGAGTGATTGTTCCTCAGGGGAGCAGTTAAGGGGTTTGCTTGCTTGCTTTTTTTTTTTTAACTGGGGAGCTACCAGAAATAGGCTCAAAGACCTGGTGAGGAAGAAACTCTGTAATAGCTGTGTTTAGATTCTTAAGGTGGCTGATTCTCAGACATAGCTTCATATCAGAAAACCAGTCAACTGAGGGTGCTTTCAGAGATAGATAGCAGGACCACACCCCAGACCTGCATTAGGAAATGGGGAGGCTGAACGATGTTGAAAAGTCACTTGGTCTGATTGTGATGTGCGTCAGTTTGGGGAGTCACCAATGTTAGGGATTACGAGTGCCCTAACAATGTTGGTAACAAAAGTTTTCAGAAAAGTCTATATTTGAGAAATAAGTACTCTGGGGATTTTTATGTAGTGCAACGATTGTTTTAATGTTGGGATCATGACGTGCTTTTGTGTTCTGACTTCCAAAAAAAACTTACTCGTTGAGCTGATACATAAATCCTTAAGAGAAACCACCCGGAAACATTTTTAATTTAGTTTTTCGAAAATATTGACCTCTGCTATGTATCCGGATAGTGTTTTAGAGACTCTAGAATAACAGCAGAGAATAAAAGATCTTGCCTTCAAGGAGTTTCCACATAATGAAGAATGGAGTGAAAGACTAAATTACTGAAATCAAGTAGGTTGAGGTATGAGGAAACAGTTCTATTCTTGTTTTAACAAGCCTAGGAACTTAAACTTTTGAACATTTCAGCCCTGCAGCAATGCCTCAATATTCATCAGACCTCCAGATAACCTTCTGATTACCCGATGACCTCCAGATAACCTTCTGATTACCTGCTGAAGGACTCACCAGTGTGGACTGCCTGACATCTGGACCAATTTTAGGGCTAAAAATGCAGAACTCATTATGCTCAAGAATGCACTTTGTTTGGAGGGGTGTTATTTTAAGAGAAAGAGAGAGGAAGAGAAACATCAATGTGTGGTTGCCTCTTGGGCGTCCCCAACTGGGGGACCTGGCCCGCAACCCAGGCATGTACCCCAACTGGGAATCAAACTGGTGACCCTTTGGCTCGCAGGCCAGCGCTCAATCCACTGAGCAGCCATACCAGTCAGGCCAAGAATGTGCTTCTTACTATAAGAACTCAACTTTTCTCTCTTCTTTTTCGGACCACTTCTGGTTTTTGCCTAGTTGTGCTTCCTATTGGCAGACCTCTAGACCCTTGAATAAATCTACCATTTGTTTCTATCCAGAGCCTCCAAACTCTTTGAGTTTGTTTGACACTAATGGGACAAAAATGAAAATAAACATATGCCAGGGAGTAATACATGCTATGAAGAAAAATAAGAGTAAAAGGGATCAGAGATGATTGGGGAAAGCCTCTGTTGATAGAATGAGCCTGTGGTTCTGTTGCAGAAGAGCGTGCTAGGCAGAGGAACAAACGGTAAGTACTAAGCAAAGATCCTAAGGCGACAGAGATTCTTAAATTGTTAGAGGCACAGCAAGGAGCCAGTATGGATGGAGTGGCTGCAACAAGGAAAAGAATAGTACAACATGAGATCAGAGAATTGAGGAGAACAGGCCATACACAGAAATGGTCTTCAATTTTCTTAACTTTAATGCCCTTGAAAAGAACTCTGAGCCCTGGCTGGTGTAGCTCAGTGGGTTGAGCACAGGCCTGCAAACCAAAGGGTCCCCAGTTCGATTCCCAGTCAGGGCACATGCCGGGGTTGCTGGCCAGGTTTCTAGTGGGGGGTGCATGAGAGACAACCACACATTGATGTTTCCCTCCTTCCCTTCCCCTCTCTAAAAATAAATATTTTTTTAACTTTGAAGAAAATTTTTCTTTTTTCAAACATTGTAACTTAACTATAAAATTTTCATCATGAGTCTAAATAGTTGCAGAGTGCAATTTCCACCATTTTGCAGTATTAACATTTTAAATTGTTACCTTACTTTTCAATCTACCCAATGGGAAAGTAAACACTAAAGTGGCTTAAACACTAGCATCCATTTTAAAGGTACATAATAAAAAGTGTTGTTTTAGTAAATAAATATTAAACATGAAAAGTAAAGTGTTATTGGGAATGTTTTAATGAAATGGCTGGTAGTTGGTTTTTTCCCCAATTTGTTCCTAATAGACGTGAGTGTATACAAAATTACTAAGAGACGGGCCTGTATCAATTCCACTTTTCATTTTCATAAGCATAAGCACTACATTAAAAAACTATAGATATATACATACTTGTGTATCCCTCGGAAAAAAATTTCCTCCATTGGAGTACCCGGGGTACTCATTCCCAAGTTTTAACATGCTGAGTGAGATGGAAAATCTTGGATGAGTTTTGAGCAAAGACTCAGAGTCAAAAAGAATCACTATGGCTTTCCTGGAGAAGTCACTTGGGGGTCAGAGTGGAAGAAGGAAAACCAGTTAGGCTGTTAATCCAATAATGGCTGATTGGACCAGGGTGGCTTCCGGGCAATGGTGAAAAAGATGCAGCATATGTAATAAGAAGCAAATGCTCTTCTCCAAATTGACTTTAAAAAAAGTTAATAGGCTGAACTTCTCAACCAAAATCTTTGAATTTTTCTTAACATTTTGATGCCTACTACTGCTTGCCTTTAATAAAATCTAATATAAAAGTGTTTTGAAAACCAAATAATTTTATAGAGAGGACTAGGCCCTTTCCCCCCATGCCATTTATCGTGTGCTCGGAGAAGGCAGTGCCTGGAAATGAACTGTCGTGGAGTACTTGGGGTTGTTGAAACAGATACCCAGCTGCACCCTTGATTGGCAATGGGAGCCCAAAAATCTTGGAGGAGAAACAACTCATTCTTGTGGCTGAAATACTGATAAATCTGTGGTGGAGAGACTGCATGGCGTGAAGAGTGAATCTGCTCTGAAGGCAAAATTACGGGTTTGAAGCCTGGTACCACCACCTACTACCTGTGTGATTTAGGGTAACTTATTTAACTTGCCTCAGTTTCCTCATTTGTCAAAGAGCATTTGTTACTAATAGGACCCACCTCAAGGTTTTCTGACAAATATTTGTAAAATGCTAACAGTACCTGGAATAGGGTGAACGTGAAATATTTGTAAAGAAGACCCAAAGATTCCTGAGAAGTCCAGAACTGGAGGGAGAAACAAAAAAGTATCTTAAAGATGGGCTGAAATGAGCAGCGGTTATAGAGGCTAATCCAGCCATTCCCCTAACACAGGCTATCTGTTACCCCAACCTGCCTGCCTGAGCATTATGAGAAAAATGTGTCTGAAATAAAAGAGAGAGCTATCAGTAGGCACCTAGCAGCTGTACCAAAGAGAAAATCCCCTAGAAATTGCTAGTAACCAGAAGTGGAAGGAACTTTCCCATTGTTCAGAAAGGAGAAGGAGAACTGGGAGGGACACAGGTGAGTGTTGGTAAGAGCATAATCCGCCAACTGGGCGTGGGAGATTGGCAACAGGAAGGCCCGTTCTGCAGCTCTTGGACAGAGCAACCACGGCCCACAGCAGGAGCGGAAGAGGGATCCTGAGCTGCTGTTGACATGTGGGGCACTTCTGCTAACCCGTGATACTTGCAGTCGGGTGTGGATGAGGCCAGAGGACATAGAGATGACATTTTGTGATTTCAATTTCACTTCTCTGAACACAGGTACATAGGTGCATGTGTTCTTAGACTTAGGAGATGTCCAGCTATAGAGCAGGGACCTTCCTAACACGCATGTTGAAAGAGCAAAATGGAAATGGGCAATGTTGAAAAGGGCAAGATTTTTGTTTAGAAGTGAGGCCAGTGCCACACCAGGAATCAGGGTCTGGCCCTGGCCAGGAGGCTCAGTTGGAGCGTCATCCTGTACACCGAAAGGTTAGGGGCCTGAGCCCCCAGTCAGGGCACATGCTGGTACCCAGGTTGTCCAGGTCTCATCCCCAGTCAGGGAGCACGCAAGAGGCAACAGATTTATGCTTCTCTCTCACATCAATGTTTCTCTCTCTGAAACCAATAAATACACCCTTGGGTGAAGGTTAAAAATGTACACTTTAAAATGAAAAAAGAAAAGAAATGGTCTGTTTGGGTGGAAGAGAGGTCAATCCCCTGGATTCTCTTACACTCATACCAACAAGAAAATCACCTGAGAAGAAATGTGTGGAGAATCCCAGGAGGGACCTCCCTGGAACAAAAACCATCTTTGCTGGCATTAAGCAGGAAGAAAGGGCAGGCTTGCTCGCTTATCTCCAAGTGCTCATCAGTAATCGTGAGCTACTGCCTTATTTGTTTCAAACAGGAATGTCTTGAGAATTCTTTTATGTGTCATGTATTACATCAACCTCATACACAAAAATTCATATCATGAAGGGCTGATAGAATATTTTTAGTGGGCAGTCCTGATTTAAATAAGAGTTGCTTGTTCTTAGTTGATATAATTAGCTTTTAAAAGGTACTTCCGGTTAAGCCAATACCACCAATCACTGTTTTCTCATTCTAAAGATA